TAGCTTCTTCTGTTTGTGTCTCACGTTCATCATGAGAATGCACTGAGAAACACAACTGTCGGTTATGTAGAATTATTTCTAAATATCTTCCTACTTGGTAAGGTAAGGATGGGATGATAAAACAAAGAAATGTCCATTCAACAAGCGGCATTGTGACTTGTTGGGTATAAATATTTGTGCTGTGTGACATCAGTAGATTTTCAAATTACATCAGGGAGATATTTATCAACACTGCTGGGCTTTTTTGGCATTGGGAAAAGAATAAGCGTAAAGGAACAGCTTTTAAATGTTCTTCTAGGTGAATTTAAATCCCATATTTTCCAACAACGTGAATGCTGCTACATTTGAATGCTAAACCAGAAAGGTTTATAGTACATATGGTACCTATTTGAATTTTTTAAATGTCTAATTTCTGCTGTGGAAATGGAGGCCAGCTTGAGTTATTTATTGTGGATGCAGAAGGAAATCACGACCCTTTGCAGGGACACGTTAGAATCCCTGCACCATTCAGCCAGTTTTCTCCTGTCACACCTACTTAAATTTTCAAAAAGACTCTTTAATGTATTGAGTGTGCTCTGGATCATACTTGTTCCTGAGCGCTTGTGACAGCTTTCAGAGATTGCTGGTGGCTCCCAGTAGATTGTAATTCTAGAAACAGGAGCCTGATGCTAAGCATCACCACCTGTTCTCCATTATTTTTCTTCAGAAGAAAACAATGCAAGGATAAGATTACATACTAATGGAACCCATTTTCACTAAATAGGTACATTTGGTCACATGTAATTTGGTGGCCCATAAAAGAAAAAAAGAAAGTAGTAAGCTGTTTTCAAAAGGGAGAAGCAAATAAAACTTAAATGAAGAGTTTCCTAACTACGTTAACTAAACCCAATTCTGACATGGCAGGTATAGCAATATGCAGTATGTAAGTACATACAGATCCCTTGTTGGAATAGCTGTGTTTTCAATTTGATTTGTTGACATATCCTAAAAGACTTTGGACCTCATTCAGCTTTTTGTAAATCCACTACAGAGCTAGATTTGAACCCTTCTGGCATTTCCACTGGAATTCCTATTTCTACTTTGCTTAGAACAATGCAGGTCTTGTCTGTAACTGAGGTTCCCCTACTGCCTCTCAGTAGAAGAAAATCATATACAACATTGTTATAACAATAACTGCAAATTATGTAGTCGATTGTTTAATTCTGTTATCATTTGCCATATGCCAGCATGGTCCCATCTTGTATCTCTGCTGTACCTTCATGTGGCATATATCTAGATAAGGGAAGGAATTTAAAAAATGAAATCACCAATGCATCTCTGTATAGGTTTTAGCATGTGCATGTGGTATAGGTAGGTGGTACATTTTTCAAGAATGAAGGCAAACGTATGTATCCTCCTCTTGAAATGTTGAACGTGGTAGAATTCATATAGATTCTGTGATACCCTGGCTCATGGTAGTCACTAGTCCCAGTTATGGAAGCAGACTATGCTCTAAATGGTATCCAAATCTCCTTCTTAGCACTTTTTGTTGCAGTTTTTCCTTTTGCCTTGTTATTCCCAAGGCTGTTATTAAAAAAAACCAAAAGATAAAAAAAAGCGTGCATTATTCCTGCTTCTGCTGTTTGGTGTTTCTCCTCTGGGAGTCCACATCAGACTGCTGGTAGTTTTTCAGTAGTACTACTTCTTGCAAACTCTGTGGTAAAAATTGGTGGGTTTTTTTGAAATAATGTTTATTTTCTGAAATGTGTTAGTTCCTGAATTTTGAAAATGAGATTCAGCAGTTAATTCAAAGGCATCAAAGGAAGGGCCACTGTACTTTACACACACCTTTGCCCTTCTGAGGAAATGAGGTGTTATTAGCGGTGTTTTTGTGCTGTGTGTGTGCACTCGAGAGGTGACACCTGCCAGTGCAAGCCCCATGCCTGTAGCCTTGTGCCCTGCTCCCTGCTCCGGCACAGCTCTAGAGCCCCCTTGGTGGCAGGCACCCTGCTGGGGGACAAGAATAGGTTTAACTCCTCCCAAACAATGGTAAAGGTTTTATCACTCATTTTAGGCCCCTTTTTCTGGACAATACTTAGGTAGAATCTAGAGAACTAAAAGATTTGTGGTCCAGACTACCTGTGTGATCCATGGGAAGACATCTAGCAGGGACCTGCAGAGGAGCAACACCATGCACTGAAGTTAGAGGTGACAGTAGATGGTAAAGATCCACCACTCTTCTCAGCTGTGGGTCTTTTCTGTTTCACCACAAGCAGCCTAATATCAAAAGTACCGAGCTCCTGTATTCCCTCATTTAGGGCAAAACCTTCAATCAGTAATCCCATCAGAATCGATGGGACCATGCGTGTAGTGGACACTTTGTGGTACTTAGGTCATTTTCTATAGCAGGTTTGGTGGCTGTATGGAGCAACCTAAACATAAGTGCTGTCTTAGCCATAATTACATATGGAGAAAGTCTTAGGATCAAAAAGTAATCTGGTTTGTTCCCTTAGATGTGTTCGTTCTGATGTATTGAACTAGTCTTAATTTTGAAATGGGAACAGGTTTTGCTTAGAGGAAGTAGATTTAGTGAGTGCTCTACAGCTGCTTTTTCTGAGTAGAGTAATGGTTTTTAAAGTATTTTTAGATTCGCAAATGTGTCTAATGACTTAAATATTTATAGACTTGGTTAGTTTACAAAAGCAGATTATTTAAGCTTTGAAAGAGTTTCATTTCAGATGTACAAAATGGATTTTTGAGTACATTGTCAGACCATGACATGACTCTGTGCATAGATGAGTGAATGTGATGTTTCAGAAAAATTGACATCTTAGCTTTTCTGTCAACAAGCCAGACTGTTTGTATGCCTCTCTTCAAGAGTTTGTTCAAGTTGCTTTAAAGTACCTCTAATTGAATGCTTCCAACTAACACAAAATTTACATTTCATAATCTTTTTATGCTTTCCTGTATTGATGACCTGCTCTTCAAACCTTTACTCATGTGCTAAGTATTTAATGAGTAAATCCATTCTGAAGCCCAGTGAAACCATGGGGTTATCTATCACAGCAAGGATTTCTCACATTAGGGAGGGATTTCAAGATCGTGCCTTTTTAGCCTTTTGATTTCCTAAATAAATTAAAACCTTTGTTCTGATTTTGGCTGGGAAAGCCCTTTTGTTGGCCAGCCACAAAATTTCCACTCATTTGCATCAGTTTTTTTTCCTCACAGAGTAGATAACAGCAGCGCTGGATTGAACATCTAAAAGACAGCACTCTGGCAGAGTGGGAGATTGCACCCGAGCGATGAGCGCTGTGCAAATAGCTTTGCTATTATTCATGTAGCTTGCTAATGAAAGCACTGATCCGGGAGAGTCATGAACAGAGTTCTGCCTAATGGGGTCTCATTAAAACAAGTTTGCTGCTTTTCTTTTGAACTTTTCAAAAGTCTTTCTTGACTTACACCTGATAGGAACTATAAGGGTACTACTGCACGTTCCTTGACAAATCTGTTATATGCAGATGTTTTTCCATTCAGATATGTGTGTGTGTATTTACATGAAAGGTGGGATAAGACAGACTCTCATTTACAAATCAGATGTACTTTGACTTAAAGACTTTAAAGTAATTAACTTGAATTTTTTATATGCAGTAAACAACTGTGGCTTAGTCATCAGTAAAAAGAAGCTGACACTGAAAATAAATGAGGAAAGAAGGTCAGCAAAGGTTTTTATAAATAGCTGGAAGAGGTGCTGGGGAGAATTCAGTCATTTTTATTTTGCTTCTAGCATGCAATCCCTGTTGACCATCACTCTACAAACAGCTGGGTTTTCCTGGTGTGACAGATCATTGCACTGCTGCTAATGCGATATGTTTGTCAGTGCCTTAGATTTCCCTTCTGAGTTTTACTATGAGGACTTAGAAATACAGGAGAGAAGTAGTGAGGTCAATGATTGCAAAGGTATGTGTAGACAGACTATGTCCTCTGATTAAAGAAAACTGGGCTAACTGCATTAACATGTGCTTCTTCCTTTATTTTTCCAGTTCTCATGGTCAAGCATGGTAAATCTTGTTAATACAAGATGAGGAAAAGTGAGAAAAGTTTTGGAGAGGAAGGTTTTGGAGCAGTGTGATTATGTTCTTTCAGAATGTTCTAGAAAAATGTCAAAATAACAATGTAGTTGCATTTGCATGTTCAAGTAATATTCTGAAGTATAGAGAGGCCTAACTGATGAGCAGTACTTGTATGATACAGCTTACTGAGGGCCTTCTCTCAGTAGCTGCACTAGTATCGGTGATCCCAGTGCTTTTTTTACACATTCAACCTGTAGCCTTCAGTATGATTGTGTTTCTTTAATTGAGAAGAATAATCTCCTCTATTGAATAAACCTGGATAAAGGTACTTAAACTAGAGGAAATCTTTGTAAGTGCTCTATGTGCTATCTAAAACTTAAGCTAAGTATTAAGTAATTCATATGCCCTATTGTTGCAGCCCAAGATAGCCTGACACCCTCAAACCAAGAATTTTGACTTTTTTAATTATACTGATGAAAATGTATGTTTTCCTTTAGTGACAAAGCTTACCTCTGTACGGTGTATATCCTAATTGTTAACAAGGTAGAGCAGTCTTGCCTGCGGGCCAAGTCCTGAGGTGTCATGTTTCAATGAGGTTCTGCTCACTGAAATGAGAACAGTGCACCAAAGGGACCAAGTACAGGTTTTCAGGGATAAGCATGGTGTTTGCTATGCACCATACTTATATATGTCAAAAAAATACATTCATTTGTTAACAGCATAACTCCAGCATGGCCTCAGAGAGTCCAGACTTTGGAGCGAGCTTCATGGGAGTGTCCAGAGCAGCAAGAACTGGGACTCTGGAAGCTCTTCCTTCCCCGCAGGCACTGGGGGTGGAAGGAATCGTTCCTCCTTCCTTTACCCTTTGCATCCACACTCAGCATGGGGAGCACTGCTACCTGTAAAGCAGGCTGCAGTAGAAGCTGATAGCTCTAGTGCCACTGATTTCAGGGTAAACAAATGGCAATGACAATGGCATTTCTATTTATACTCATCTGGACAGGGGTCAAAATGCAAAGCTGTAGCAGCAAAGCACTGCAGAGGTGATGTACTCTCTCCTCTCTTCCCTTCCTATGCATGCAAGAAAGCTGGCAAGAGACTGGCTTAGGAATGATGGCAAAACCTGACGTTGAGCTTCTCTCAGCCATATCCTGGTGACCATTTTGCATGACTCCCAGAAACCTAAATTCCTGAATTAATGGGGCAGCAAGTAGCTGCAAGGCTGTGCCCCAATGCCTCAGTTTTGAGAGAACATCTTAGTAGGCAAAGTGCTGTTTGCCCCTACGCCATATGATCTGTTGAATTGGTTTCAAGGAAAATGTACCAAACTTAGGAGACACGCTAACATTTTAACAGTGATACTTTGTTATTTTAGGGCTGATTTTCCTACCTGGGAGAAACTTCTGAAGTCAGTGGGAGGAGTTGTACCTGTTTCAGCACCAAGTGGTCTCTGGGAAGGGCACATTTTCTGCTTTTATTTTCTTGCATGTTCTCACAAAACATGCAAACACTCAGGTCAGTTGAGGCACTCGGATACACAAAGAGCTGCCTCCTGGTTTTTGCAGCTCCTTCAGCAGAATAGATGTGCAATCACCGCTGACGTAACTTGGTTCAGTGCAGGTGGAGAGAAGTCCTTAAGCCTTAGCACTCTTCACAGCACAGTGCTAAAGACATGGTGCGAAGGGCTCCTTACCAGGGAAATGTACTGTTTCACTTGTTTTGGGTGCAAAGTGTTCTGTGCAGTCCTGTCTCCTGGAGAATTTGAAGAGCAGGTAAATGAAAAAGAATTGGTTGACTGAGGAAAGCCATCTCGTGCTACTTTATTACTTCTCTGTGATAAAGTACTTTTCATTCACATCAGTCTAGTCTGCTTCTTTCTCTCCTTGCAATGTAACTAGGAAAATAATTTGTTGCCTAAGAGATGAATTGTGCTTTGTGTACAGTAAACTATTACAAATATGCTTATATTCTCACAAGCATAAACATATAAATAACATCAAGCATTTGAATAATTTCACTGGTGCTACTTCAACTGCCCAAGACTTAGTTATAAATATTTTTATCTGCCTAATTAAAACTTTTTTTTTTCATTCTTCCTGTGGAATGACATGTGAAGTGCAGGGAAAACAACAAATCACATCTTTAAAACTTCCAGCAAACACTCTAGCAAAAAGGTAAGGGAGGAAATCTTCCTTTGCTATGATCACATAGCCATGGTCAATGATTGGCTTCAGCGTGGAGTTTAAGGAGAGCTCTGCACATATCCATGCTCTAAGAATTGTTTCACAGCTGTTAAATAGGCTGAGTAAGTTAATCTGTGAAATATGCTTTAGGCAATCAATTTATTTATGTAAAATATGCTTCCATGGGTATGACTAGAAAGTAGGACTACATTTTTTCATACTTGGCTGGTAAATGTGGCCACCTTGATTTGTGGTTTTTATCCCTGTATAATGGAAATTGTTAATGACACAGTCACTTTTAATTAGCACATCTGAAAGGAAGGATACAAATTCAGAAAAATGAAAGAATCATACAGTTAAAAGGATGATGGTTGAAGAAAATTACTTGTGTGCTGTGGATCCTTATGTGGCCTTGGCATAGCCAAGCCATATAATCCCTACTACCTTAGGTCCATCTGTTTAAAATAAAAAAGAAAGAAGAAAGGACAATCAAAACCAACAAATCAACAGCCCTTGTTTGGACTTGCTTATGTAGACTATCTACCAGTTAAAGAACGGATCGTGCAGAATTAGAAGAAAGTGTAGCAACTAGACACCACCCTGGGCATGGTTATAATGCAAATAATACCAACAAGAGGGATTCAGATATAGGTTGACTGTGTAAAAAATGCTTGCTAACAAAGTATGCAAGTATCCTGGAGAATCCAACTCATGCAGAATAAAAGTTGTCAAGAAGGTGGTGCAATATTACCATGGTTCCTGTTTCTTTGGCTTTCCTAACAAGTATCGGATACACACTGAAGTTTTCATTACAATAACGTTGCGTGAACTAAAAAGTAGTATCAAGTTGCTGCATCTGGCTTAGCTTTAGAAGTGGAAATATAGTAACGGGATAAACGAAAGGGCCACCCACTATAAAGCATGGGTTACCCATATAAGGAAAAAGAAAAAAATCTTTAATGGATATTTATTCCAAAGGCTGTTACAAAGAAACTGCTCTCAGACTGATGTAGTGCCAAGCACAGAGGATTAAACTCTTTAATGACTTTTTGTTGATCAACATCCAAGACATCTAGGAACAAAGAAGAGATTCCGTAACTCCACATAAAGAATATTATTTTCAGACAAGAAGACAGTGCTTGAAAGCATAAGTTCAGAATATATGGTAAAATGTAGCAGGGAAGAGGGTAAATACAAGTCTTAGCTGCATAACAGCTTGTTTTGAGGGTGGAGAACAGATTTATAGTTAATTAAGTGTTAAATGCTAGAATCCTAGGTAATTATAGGCTGACAACCACTAGAATAGGACAATGTCCATTTTGGCTTGATTCAGAAATTGCATAGGCTTATTCCTGTTTCTTTGAATTTACTTTTTTTTGGTACCTTTATCAAGAAATTGCTGTCCTGGGTAGGCAGTGGACCTGAGTCTGGATTTTTTCTCTCTCATTTTTTCTCTCATTTATATTATATTAAGAGTTTGGGTTTTTTTCTATGAATTAGGTATTTTTGGAAATCCTACTGTCCTTTCTCCTCTGTGTCATGGTGCCTATCACTGAAGGAAGTCTTGCTTGAAAATTGAAAGGGGCCCATAAGATTGAGAAGAGGATGTAGTCACAGTTCAATGTCTGGAATGAAAGATGGCCCCTCAGTGGTTATTGCAGACTGAAACTAAGAGCAGTCCTTGCTTACTCAGGGGCTACAGACACAAATGTAGTCTGAAGCCACTCTGTTCTTGCCTCCTGGACTGCATGTGCTCAGCTTGCTCTTCTGAGAATTGGGGCCTGGGTTTGTTTGAATTAATAGTGAAGTCATTACACTATGTAAATATGTTAGTGTTCATCTGGTTTTACTCACAAGTTATTCTTGCCTTGGTGTGCTGTTCCTGTTTTTTTGTTTGAACAAACCTGGAGCTTTTTTAAAGAAAAAGGAATAAGGTAAATAGTGTTGAAACCTTGATTGCTTACCACAGGCTGAAGTTGAGTAGGCAGCTCTAACTTAATAATATAATAAGTGTACAATGACTTTTTCAATGATGATATTAGTGATCCTTTCCTTTTCTGCCATCTTTGGCCTCCTTCGAGTAAAGTGTGATAATTTGGCTTAATAGCCTAGTATCATAATTTTTCCTTTTACTGAGGAGTCAGCTGTACAGCAATATGAGTCTAATATCTTCAGAGAGGTTGTCTGAGGTGACCAAGCCCTTTCCCAGGAGAGCTGCTCTTCTGCAGGTAGACCCCAGCATGAGCACTGCTGGCTCTTCATGCAAGCATAACTGCTCCTCAAATGGATCAGGATAAGGAGCTGCTCTCTTGTGTTGTAATTCTTCCTGTTGTTCTGAAGGGGACAGCCCCAAGTTGCGTTATTGACTCATCCTGTTTCTTATTATCATTCATGCAGACCAAATGTAAGAGAACTGGAGAAATATCACCCATTTTTTTGGTTGTTTTTTTTCTTTCTCTATCCTTAAAACTCAAGAACTTTTGTATCAACATCTCCAAATTCTCTGTGGTGCATGAGACTGGAGAGTGGGAGCTGGTGGAGGTGCCTCAGCATTGTTTGTTCTGATATTAAAGCTGAATTGACTGATTTCTGATGTCCGATTTCAGTTCTCTGTAGATGCTTTGGAGTTCAAAGGACTTGATCCCACTCGACTCCTCTCGCAATGAATCAGGCACAGCCATCACATTGCAGAGAGGCTCATGCAGAGCAGGGAAAAAAAGAAAAGTTTTTTGACTGTCAGATGACAGTGGTAGTTTCTGAAGCATAGAGAAAGAACAGGGGATTGAAAGAGACGCATGTGCCAGGTGTTCTCACAAATGACCATCAAGGAGACAAACGATAATGCTGACATTGAGTAACAATGTAAGATTGCAGTCAGCAGTCTGCAGAGGTGGAGACTGCGGTTCATCCTTCTCAGACATATGGCATCTGGCTGTGTCTCCAGCTGACCCGAACTCATGTTTTCAGGGTTATCCTTTTAAACATGAGGGCCAGAGGAACTGCATTTTGAAAACTGGTGTCTTAAATGCTTTGTATTCTGCAATGCAAAGCGTATTCTGCAAGGAATAAGTTTCCAGGGTGAGGACTGCAGATGCTGCACAAATGTTTATAACCTGGAAACATTCTCTCTCCAGGCGCTGTAGCAGACAAAGGGAGTTTTTCCACTGACTGTAATAAGATAGGATTTCCCCTTTGCTTTTTCTAGGTTTTGTGAATGTTTAAAAGCAAAGGAAGTTTACTTCCTTAGTAGCTATACTGCAGAAAGTAAAGCTGTCATCTCGTCTCTTGCTGTGATTACATTCTTGCAGAGATGGTTCCCAATAGAAGCTCCACCTTGAAAGTGCGTCACGATCTGGGGATGCTCAGACCCAGGTGTTAGAACAGTAATTTACCACCAGTTCCCAGCAGTGTTATTCTACTCCCAACCACAATATCCAAATATCTACCTGTGGTTTAATTCTTGGTGTTTTGTGAACCATAGAATCTGCTAGCTCTTTCCATCTGGATAGTATTCTTTGATTAATAAGAAACTCCATGCTTCTAGAGTTAATAGATCCAGAGGGAAAACTGTTTTTGGCAACCCACTATTCATCCATCACAGCAAACATGTTGATCAAAAAGCCAGAAGAATCTTACTCTGGAACAGATGATAAATAGCCAATTAGAGACAAAACTAAAAAGCTACACCATCAGAAAAGGGGTGGGGGAAAGGCAGAGATAAAAGGGCAAGAAAAGGCTGAACATAGAACAAAGTGCGTGTTAACAAACCTTTATTCTTCGAGC